TAAAGTGGTTAATGGTCATGAAATGCGACTATTCATAAGTATTTAATTATATATGGAAATTTATCAACCACTTTTATTTAAGTTCTATCGTGAAGTATGATGAAATACACAATCATCAAAAATACAAATTTCATTATTCCTAAAATTTCTTGAGAAAACTCTTAAAATACTTGGGGGAGTTATAAACGCTCTACTAATAGCCTATTACAACGTATATCGTGGCAGATATCTTTAATAATTCTGATTGTATGAAAAGTAATATTTTTAAGGCTCACTAAAGCTTTGTCAAGTAGCAAAAAAATAAAGAAAAGGAAAAATTATATTTATACTTTAAATTTAATTCCATGAATATTTTGATAAGTTATTCACAAATATCATTTGTTCCATATTTGACATTGTAAAATTAGATAGAATACCTAGTAATTTAGAGATAAAGTATTTTTTCACTACATGCTGAAATCCCACCTCTTCATTTATGTTTTATTTCAGCAGATGAGGTCCATTTCCAGATGTTCCTTCGGAATATAAGTAGATGGATTCATTAAGAAGAGAAATAGATACTAAGCAAAAAACGGAATGTCCAATATGTAAGAAACAGAGAATATGGCTAGAAGAAAGTGACATACTTTTACCATTATAAATACCACATATATGACAGGTTTATACGAGAATAACAGGGGAGTTCATTATGAAATTAATGAAAATTGCGACTTATATGATGTATTGAATATAGATTAATTTAAAAAATTAAAAAAAATAACATTACAAATAATTATTTATAACATACAAGTCATAGATATTAAACAGGGTTGTGTTACTTGATATAAAAAATGAGTCATTTATACTTTCAAAACCAAAAAAAAACATTTAGTTAAGAAGATGAAAATGATGATTGGCATATGACGCTTAACAAATAATTCAGTTCACCTAGCCAGAAAATGAACACAAATATAGGATTGAGACAATATAACCCAAAAAGCTATAAATATTTAAAAACGCATGGGTATATAAGAGGCTGCTACAATAAATTGTCGTAAACTAATAGTTTTAAATAATAAACAAGCTATTTCTAGGGTTATTAGGCAAATAGTGTAAAATTCCATTAAACGAATAAAAACTTCCAATATATATAAAATATAGGATAAGTAATAAATTTAAATAGATACATTGTTGTTGAGTTTAAGGGTGAAACAATGTATATAATCCATCTTTCGTAACCCTTAAGCTAACTAAAGTGACGTTCCACCAAGAAAGACGAATAATGATAGGCCTGAAGGTCTTACTTCTATCCTTATGTCAAGCCAGCTGACATGGTGCAAGCCTTTTGGATAGGCCAAGAAATATCATAAGGTAAGGACAAAGTTTGCTGTAAAGTGGTCAAAAGAAAAAGGATATCCAGATATGCAGAGAGATACAGCGAACATAGGTGGGTTGAAAAATGTGATCCGACGAAAATAGTTACCAGCAAAAGGCGAAAATTTTGCCTCATAGAGAATGTCGGAACTGAGTAGAATAGAGCTTATCTTAGCTCTGTACAGTTTGGTCATAATTTATTGATATTAGTGAAAAAATTAAAATAAAACCAGTTAAAAGTAAATAATTTAAAGTAATTAGGAAACTTTTTTATCTTGCTGCAAAACTCTAAATATATTCATGGAAAACTAGTCGTCGGGTACACGTCAGCTGTGCAGTTTAGGATGGAAATATATTGAACCCATATAAAATTCAAGTGTGCGGTGTCAAGAAGGGATGAGAAATGAAGTCTGACTAACTTGAATACTATTTCATTGAGCTACATTTAGTAAAATAATATTGGTTACATTACGCAGGATAGCTTATTAGTGATAATATAAACAATAATCAACAAAGTAAAAACAAGTTATTGTTTAAATAGCCTGTTTGATGCAATAATATATATTTTGCTTAATTATTTGAAAAGAGCATGTCATAGAGGTTATCAAATGAATTTGAGAGATGATTCTACCGAACTGACCTTTCTTTTCTCCAGCTCGACCAGCCGGTGATTAGCGATTTCCACAGCCTCTCTATATCCGTACATTAATTCTATTTCCTTAAAATTAGTAAAAGAAAAAGGTAAATTATATTCCAGCATATAATTACATTAGTAAATAAGGTTTCATTTAGCATGATGATGGAGTTTTTGTCTCGTTATGCGTGCCAAATTGTATTAAAGATTGTAATGCGTTCACACATTTAAAAATAAAAGCGGCTTATGAAATAATCATCATACGCTAATTAACGCTGAACCCAATGGAGAATATATAGCCAAACTGCGAAGGTGGGCTTATAGAGTTTCATAACCATTTGATCAGGTTATATATTGATTTCTTGTTTTCATTATCAAATAAAGAATTAATAAATTAGTTAAATTGGGAGATATTTAAAAACAATCCTTATGCAACTATGTATAAAACTCATTCTGACTGAGACAAATATCATAAGAAATATGCTAATTCGATCCAAGAGAAATAAGGACTGAGTTATAAGTTATTCTAGGGCAGGTATTTTAAGGGCTATTAATCATACTTTAACTAATTTTCATTAAAAAATGATTATTTCAATAACTTGGGAGAAAACAAGTCCAACTTAATTATTAAGGAAGTGTATAAAGATTTAATATATTGCCGTCTCGCTATTCAATATCGTTTACTTTTGTATCTGTTCCTAAATCAACGGGAAAGGGTACAAAAATCTGGCCGTGATAGGCTATAACCCATTGTAGAAGAAGAAATGTAAAACATTAGACAGAAACTTTCTTTGATTATTAAATAGACTGACAAATTGATTAAAGAAAACACTAATCTATATAAAAGTGTGACTGCATTAAAATATCAATTTAATAATGACAAAAAAATTATTGGATACTAATTTATACTAATTTCGAAAAAAATGAATAAATGAGGCCATTGTTCACTAATAAATGTAGTTTTTCATATATAACTAAGCCTTCAAGTCTGCTAGTAGATCATATAGATGAGATATATTTACACTATTTCATCAACTTAACGAAATAGAATGAATACATTTTATATTAGTAAACTATTAGTAGTCTCAGGAAACCCAGTTAAAAACGAAAATAGCAAATAAAACTTTGCTTTAATCGACAATCTCAACACAAAATGTGATAATTTGAAATGCCTGGCCTTCATTCAAATTCACAGCTGCCCTGATATCCAAAGTCACTTGTGGCAGTGTGACGTCACTATGCTGCCTTGTCACGGTTCGATACACACACGGACCGAGGCCAGGTTCTGATTGGATGAGAATACCTTTTGATAAGCAAGGATATGTAAAAGTCAATGAAAACTCAAGGCCTATTCATAGCATTTTGGGAAAAATTTAACTATCAACCCTCCATGAACCTTGTATCTCAAATATGTATTTATTTGGCTCCAAAACAACTTTAAAGCGGAAAGAATAAAGCAGCCTTCGCGCATTTTTACATTTACTTTATGAATTTACAATGTTTTTTATTGGTATACAGAGAGCTTAAATGACTAAAGAAATTTTTATCATAAAGAATTGTGCTAAAACTAGTGAATATAAATTAGAAAATATAGATTAAAAAATAAAAATGATGCCTCATTATGACAGGACACTTTCCCTACTTCTGATTGAGCGAGAGAGCAAGAAAAATAATAAACTAAATAAAAAAATTTGATAATTTTATAGCGTTCTGAAAGCCTGATTATCCTGTATTTGGCTAGCCATATTCAACATATTTGGGGTTCACACCATCTGTGAGCACATATATTTATACATACCAATATATTGTTTCAGAAATTTTCTTCTAAATACAGAAAGCTCCCTTACCTCTTAAATGTGAAGTATTGAATGTACCAAAAATCCCATTAATAAAACCTTATGAAATTTAGTCCCTCGAAAACTAGGCAAGAGTTGAATATTGTGAAAGGTTCAGTGATGTTAAAAGTACGAAGGTGCATGAACACACTGTAAGAAGAAGGACAAAGTAGCCAAAGTAAACGTTGTCATCAATATAGAAAAAGCTTTAAATAAGGATAGAAACCAAAGGCATTTAGGTAAAGTAAAAATCTTTTAACGAAGACAAAGTGACCTAGTTTAAGTAGAGGTAGTTTCACGAATGTACGCAGCACTACACGGATAAGATTTCGTTAGGAGTATTGATAACACCCAGGTGGGTTAGAGATTTCAGTCAAACATGGATGATAATGCATATTAGATGTCAAGGCTAAGTAAAATCGAGTGGCATCATGGCGCTTATTCATGTCACTGTAGGAAAATTCACCATAGATTTTGATAATCTAATGCGACCCAGGCGCAATATAACGCCTATCAAATAACTGATGATAGTTATAAAACCCACTTATCGTGGATGTACACTTATCAATGCGAAAAACGTAACGAATACATTGGACAAAGTTAAATACAAGTATCTTGAGACTCAGATGGTATGGTTGGATGTCATGATTATAAAGTAATGGCAAGACCTTTGTGAATAAAAATGTCAACATAGGCCTGGGGTGTCATGGACATTATAAGGAGGATTTTAAAAAGATGCATTTCATACATAAAAAATCCGGGTAAAATACTCAATCCATTTTAAACATAATAAACTCTATACCAAACATAGTTAGTGTTGACTTTACTACTTTTTCACAATTTCGTCGGAGCGACTGGGAGAGCCTGTAGAGCCAACCTAGTTCTACGCCCTCTGCCATAGTATTAATGATGATTTTTAGCATCGTTAACTTGGTGCTATATTATTTTAAATGTGTCATATCTCATTTTTATGAGGGAGGTATAAAGGACATCCATAAGGCATCTGCAATAAAATGCAGCTGTAGAGCCTAATTATCGAATCAAACAAGTGCAAGTAGCATCATAAGCCGCTATTGCCTTGGTAGAGTGCTGTAAAGTGCTGTAAGTGACTACTATGATATAGTAATGCAGCGTGATTAAACAAACTATCTATTTATATGAGAAGTACTGGCAGTCTCAAAATCCTACTAATAAACGAAAAAATTATATATTTGCCTTTTTATCATTATCGCTCAATTGTTTCTCCAGTCTTTCCACCTTGACGCGCTGTTTGAGTGCATGACCTGAGCTGGCTGGATCGATAGGGGCCGTCGCCACAGAGCCAAATGAGCCTCCTAGGGTGGTCACCGAACTTGATGTTTCATCTCCAAGAGATCCACCAATAATAGGGGCGACTGAGGCCTGGAGATTTGTACTAACAGCCCCACCCATGTTATACATTGTCCCGCCGATTGCTGAATTTGGGGCTTGAGTAACCGAATAGCTTGATTGAGCCCCAGTTCCGGAGCCTGAACAGACCAATAGCGGGCCGCTGCCGGTCAGATATGGATAGCCTGAACTAGAAGTAATTAATACAGAGCCCGAAGATGAGCTGCTGATTCCTGTTCCAGAACTTGTAGTAGCAGCATTGACACCAGTCACTGCTACTCCACTTCCGGTGGCACCCACTGAAGCGTAGCCACTGGAACCGGACGATGCAGGAGACATTCCAGGATTAACTTGAAATTGTCCGGATACACCCGAAGCAGAACCAGATGAGAATGATGCAGGCCCAGCTGGTGAACCCGGTTGCGCAGCAGTCATCGACCCCCCGAAGGCACTTGGCCCAACAGGAGAGATCATTACGCCACTTGCAGTAATTCCTCCAGGTCCGAATCCTGCCTGACAGGCAGCAGCAGCCGTGGCCAATGTTTCATTAAGCAATGATTGGGCTAAGGCTAACTCTTCACGCAGTTTGATTCCTGTTTGGCAACGCTGAATGTATGCCGACTTGATTTTCATCAGGCTGTTTTCAGCATCGATCATTCGCTTTACTTCGGCTTTCCAGCAGTCTTTGAGATATTTGCGGGTCTTAGTAAATTCGACTCGCTGCCGAGTGAGCACCTAAAAGGACAGGTGAATAAAATATCGAAGTAGGAATGTAAGGGCAAGAAGAAAATCTGAGAGTGAGAAGGACTTGATAAATAAAATTTTCTAACAGAAAATCGAGTAGAAACTACCATAATAACCTAAACTTATTAAATGTATCCATTTAAAATAAAGGAATATCTTATTCTGCAATTAATCAATGTAAAGCCATGCAATTTTCACATTTTCCCAAATTTATTGAAACTCATAGAGGTCTGGGACAACTAAGGCAATTTTCGACATTTGAAGACCGAAGCAAGGCAATTATAGCTCAGCTAATTTTGAGGAAAGAAATTATGAGGTGTATTCACCCTATTTCGTTTAAGTTGATGAAGGACTGGTAGTAGAATTTTCCCGGTAGTCTCTAAACTCTACTTACATACGAAAAATAAGTAACGTAGTCGATGTGGTCGAGTGATTCACGTGTCCAGCTCACATTCTGCACTGACCAGGTTCGACTCCCTCTGGGGCTGTTGATAAGACCGATGCGAGGTCGAAACTGCAGTCCACTGGTGCTTGGATGAGAACAACTTTTGGTAAATCAAGGCTATGTGAAATTCAATGGAAGCGCCAGGTCTACTCATATAATTGTGGGAAAATTCTACTAACTGTCCTTTATCACTTTAAACGAAATTGGGTGAATACATATCATATTATTGATTTACTAGTAGTCTTGAAACTCTACTTTCATATGAGAAATAAGTTAGATTAGCTGAAAGTGTA